CTTTGTGGATAATACCACTACAACCCCACTAGATAAAAAAACATGATCTTTTTGTTAGACAAATTGCGCTTTGCGACGCTGCCGATGAGCTCACCGGGAGAAGACCAACCCCGTTTTCGACCTGTGTTGTTGAAGTAAATCCACTTTTCATGACAAGTCACAATCCGGTCCAGAACTTTGTCCCTGCGTTGATATTCGAGCAGAATAGTGCAAGTCCGAACACGCGTGTCCTTATCTGCTTGAGTCAGCTCATGCGGCACTTAGCGATTGAATGTGTACATCAACTTGGGCAACTAGTGCGACGCATAGCGCGATTAATGGATATGGAGCTAAGGTCTAAATCCTCAGCAAGCTCTCGAGTGGTTGCATACTGATCTTCTTCCGCAAGTTCTTGCAGGTCGGCCTCGTCAAAATCAGTAGGCCGGCCAGAGCGCTCTGCTTCTTGAATGTCATGGTCCTTGTTTTTGAGCTTTCGTTACCAAACCTTCACAGTGTCATATGATACAACATTAGTACCTAGAGCTGTACTCGTGACTTAATGAAATTATGTAGCTGACATTTTGCAACAGAACTGGAAGTAAATGATGGTTTTAATCCTGGAAAATCAGGCCAAATATGGATTTTCTTGTAAATATCACATCCAATTTCTTATCTAAGGAAAAGAACTTCGATTTTAGTTCTGAATTTCTTTTTTATATGGAAGGATATATTTACAAAATTATATTATAATTCTTTATCAGATAGTGCTAAAATAAAAAAAAATTTGACTATGATTGAATATGAATAAGTAAAATTAAATATGATTTCCTATTTTATATTAAAATGTAAATGTAATATTTCAAAATTATTGCAGGGAGATTGGAACTTTTGAAAACATTTTATTTGATAGAGAAACTAGCTTCTTGCTAAAACTAAACAGAAACACAATTTACAAAAATGGGGGAAAATAGCACGTAAAAGGTTGTTGTTGCGGCAAAGCCAGCGAACTATTAAAAATAACATTACTCTTTTTGTGAATGGCATCACTTACGTTTTTTTTATTTATAAATGTCCTTTTGCTTGTTCTATACTCATGTTTAGTTAGGATAATAAGTATAAAATTCATCCAATATCTGTGCGAAACACCATTTCGAACAGGTGAATTAACTCCTTGAACTGCTGAAAATTTACTTCCGATAAATTAGTTTGTTTTTGTCTTTCTACTATTCAAGGCCGACCTAGCTGTACAAAATAGAATGAAAGAGAATGCGAGTTTTTCGCTTTTCTATGAATGAGCATACGGTAGAATCCTAGTGCCAAAAATTATTCGTGCATTCCCCAATGATATTTGTTGCCGCTGGATTATCTATGCCAAGCGTGAAAAACTAAACGAAGGTAATATTACTAGATTGATGCAGTTCTTGGCAGAAGAAGTGGAAGGTGTAGTTGCAGCACAAAGAGTTAAAGGTACGTCTTTTTCTGATCACACCGTAAAGTGCACTGTAGAAAATTTTAATATCAATTCCAAAACAGTAAACAAACGTAAGAAAATTTCACCATTTTGTTCATTTTGTGATACTACAGGACATTGGCCTCAATATTGTGAAACTGTTACAGACTATGATACTCGTGTTCAGAAACTTAAAACTTCAAATCGCTGCTTTCTGTGTACTAACCGTGGTCATAGAGTTTCAAACTGCCCAAGAAAAAATACTGCACGGTGCACTAAATGCAAGAAAAGGCATCATGTTTCTATTTGTCCTCCTGTTGAAAACAATCAACTGCGGATAACTAACAGTGCTGTAAATCACATAACCTTTCCTAAAACAATTTTCACACATTTGCAAACTGCTCGTGTGTATGTTACTGGCCCCACAGGCATTACTAAATTAACACGTTGCATTTTAGATGGTGGTAGCCAAGCAAGTTTTGTTCACACAAACCTCATTGAAAAACTTGAAGCTTAAAGTTGTCAGTTCTGCCTCACTTTCAGTTCAAGCATTTGAATCTTTTACTTCACAAGAACAACGTAGATGTGTTCAACTGTCACTTTCAAGTTTGTGGAGCAACCAAGCATTTTTGATCTCCGCATTTGAAAGCTCCAATTCCTATACTACACATCCTACTGCTCCACCAGAAATAGTTCACTTTGCTCAGAAGAAAAGATTGAGAATTGCTGATCCTCCGGATGACTCTTCACTGCCCATAGAAATACTTATTGGTGGTGATCATTATTGGCAAATTGTTTCCACAGAAGCTCCAATCAAGCTTTCAGAATCTTTTGTTATGGTACCGTCAGTGTTTGGATGGGTTCTTAGTGGAACAAGAACACATACTACAATCGCTGAGAAGACTTCTGTCCATCAAGTTTGTGTGCAAGTTAAAACTGATTGTTTAAATGATCAGGTACGTCGCTTCTGGGAATTAGACTCCATAGGGATACAAGATGCGCAGAAACGAAAAATGACTACTCGAGATGAAGAAGAAATTTTATCAGAATTTCACAAAACTTACAACACTGAAGACAATCGAAGAATTGTGTCTCTGCCTAGAAAACCATTGGTCACACCTTTGCCTACAAACAAAATTATAGCGGAAAACAGATTTCATTCTCTTAAAAAAAGACTTGCATCTAGTGATGTGTTAAAGACACAATATGACAAACTGCATGCTGAATTACATTGAACAAAAGCATGTTGAAGTTTGTTCCATAGATGAATCCAATGAGAAGCCAGTATATTACCTTCCTCATCATGCTGTAAGAAAGAAAACAATCTGAAACCAAGTGGAGAATTGTGTTTGATGCTTCCTCGCATGCTCCAGGAATGATTTCACTGAACGATACCTTGGAAGCTGGCCCGAATCTTCTTCCTGAATCTATTGGTTGTCTACTAAGATTTCGATTGCATGAATTCGCTGTTACATGTGATGGTAAGCAAGCTTTTTTACAGTTGTCACTACATAAAGAAGATAGGGACGTCACAAAATTTTTCTGGTACAAATTAAAATCTGATTCATCTCAACCTACTACTTTTACAGATGAAATAACTGTTTACAGATTTACTCGTTTACCATTTGGCCTTACTTGCAGTCCGTTTTTACTCTGTGCTGCGACACGAGAATTGGCTGCAAAACATATCGCAGAATTTCCAATTGCTGCACCAATGATAGATAAACATCTCTATATGGATGACTTTCTTGCTAGTATGGAAACTGAATCACGCATTATAATGCTATATCACGAGATCAAGAATTTAATGGCTCTAATAAAATTGCCTATGGAAAAATGGGCTACAAACTCTTTGAAACTCAAAGATGTACTACAAACACATGAAGAATCTCACAAAACGGAAACAACTGTCTTAGGTATTGGCTGGAATACAACTTCTGATACTTTGAAGCATGCATTCAAGACTTCCCTCTGTGTTTTTACAGACAAACCACTTACAAAGAGATGGTTACTCCGCTGCATTGCTAGTTTTTATGATCCCTTAGGCCTTTTTTCACCGTTTACTATTCTTGGGAAAATCTTATTCCAAGATACATGGATTCTTGGAATCAAGTGGGATGAATTACTACCTGCTAATTTATCAACTTTATGGTATGCAGCTGTGAAAGAACTTGATGACATTTGCTCCCTTCAAATTCCTCGATGCATAGGGCATTTCATCACATGTTCCTTTTGCTATTCATGTGTTTTGTGACGCATCTGAACGTGCCTATGGTTCAGTTCTGTACATTGTTACCTTTAAAGGTGACCAATCGAATGTGAATTTAGTGTGTAGTCGCAACAAACTAGCTCCTATAAAGAAAGTTACCTTACCTCGTTTGGAGCTCTTGGCGGCCCTGATGGGAGCACGATTGTTGCAATATTTCTGTGCTGAAACAAACATCTGTTCGTCAAATGCAACATTGTGGAGTGATTCTCAAGTTGTCTTAGGGTGGATACGCAGTGACCCCAACAAATGGAAAACTTTTGTTAGCAACAGAGTAACAGAAATTATTTCCTGTACCAATCCTTCACAATGGAGACACTGCCCTGACAAAGACAATTCAGCTGACAAACTTTCTCGAGGTGTTTCACCATCAACACTAAAAAACCAGGAAATTTGGTGGAACGGCCCTCCATGGTTAGTCAAATCTCTAGACTATTGGCCTCATTCTGATACTATTTCTAAAGATTACAGTCATAACTTCGAGGCAAAGAAAGAAAAAGTTCAGACCCTTCACATCGTATCTACTCAACCAATCATAAAGGCTGGAAACTACAGTTCTTACGTTCGATTGTTACGTGTAACATCTTGGATTCTTCGCTTTATTCACAACTGTAGGAAACAAAAAAAGTTAGTGGGTGAGTTACATGCCACAGAACTGAATCAAGCTCGTATTTATTGGATACAGACCGTTCAGAAAGAATCCTTTCCTTCAGAATATGAAGCTCTGTTGACAGGAAAATCACTCCCTAAGAAATCAAGGATAAAACAATTTAACCCTTTCTTCAAGAACAATATTATACTTCTTGGTGGTCGACTACAATTTTCTGATTTATCTCATGCTGAAAAACATCCCATATTATTGGAAGGTTCTCATCCATTTTACAAGCCTACTGATACGCCAAACACATTTACGAATGCATCATCTCGGTGTTCGGATTGTACTTTCTCAGCTTCGTTCAGAATATTGGATATTAAGAGCAAGACAAGCCATTAAAAAAGTGATAAAGACTTGCCTTCCATGTAAAGTACTGAAACAAAAGAGAAGTGAACAGATAGAAGCTCCACTACCAGCTGAGCGAATTCAAAAGTCATCTCCTTTCGAAACTACCGGAATTGATTTTGCTGGACCACTCTACGTAAAAAATAATAACTCCGTTACAAAAGCCTACATTGTCATCTTCACATGTGCTACAACTCGAGCTATCCACTTAGAATTAGTTTCCGATCTGCGTACTGACGTCTTCCTACTTGCATTACAACGTTTTGTCTCTAGACGTTCACTTCCTCATACAGTGTACACTGATAATGCCCACAACTTTCTGCGCTGCGGACAAAGAGCTGAAGTTATTGTGGGATACTATATCCTCTGCCAAGGCACAACAGTTTTATGCCCACCACAACATCAAATGGAAATTCATCGCCCCCCGAGCGGCTTGGTGGGGAGGATGGTGGGAAAGAATGATTGGCTCAATTAAGCGATGCCTTCGGAAAACATTAGGTAAGGCTCTTTTGGATGACGCTGGTTTGATCACTGTATTATGTGATATTGAAGCCGCTCTTAACAGTAGACCGATTGTCCACGAATATGGAATAAAAGATGACTCTGAGGAAGCTTTAACACCCTCGCACTTCCTCATAGGAAAGAAATTAACCACTATTCCTTCCAGCCCCACAAATCCTGAAACAAATTTAAATCATATGTGGAAAAATCGTCAACATTTGATGGACTTGCGTACATTTCATCAAGTGCGGAATCCATCTGAAACAAATAAAATACGGAAAGGGGACATTGTCCTACTACAAGAAGATGTTAGACCTCGCCACACCTGGAAGAAGGCCCGTGTTGAGGAGCTAATCCTTGGCCGCGACAAAAGAGTCCGTACTTGTGTTCTGCGCACCAATGGACATACCATTACCCGACCTGTGCAGCTGGTCATCCCCCTGGAGGTTGACCAGGGTGGGGAGGATGTTGCGGCAAAGCCAGCGAACTATTAAAAATAACATTACCCTTTTTGTGAATGGCATCACTTACGTTTTTGTATTTATAAATGTCTTTTGCTTGTTCTATACTTCATGTTTATGTTAGGAAATAAATAAGTATAAAATACTATCTCCTAATAGTTGTAGAGTCATCAGGATATTTTGAAACACAGGACATGAAAAATGAGCAATATTCTCGCAGAGACTCGAATCTTGACCTCTAGAAGGAATGTTGAACCAAGAAGGCATGTTGGAAGGAAGAAGAAAATTAAGAAAGAGGGCTGTAAAGCTTATACCTTATATATTGCCCCTTTGAAAGGGCGGCTGGGGATTAGGTGACCCAATCGCCTGGTGGGGACGAAATATTGACCACCACCTTTTAGTTCGGGCACCACTATAGAGTCATTAGTTTTTTTTCGGGGGGGGAGGGGAACCTTGTGCCGCTCCCTTCCCAGGGTTCGAAGCTCAACCTGCGGGTGTGCTACCCTTACATTACGAAGGCATGCTAGAAGGTGGGAGAAAATACCTTATAAGGTATTTAATGCTATTCATAAATCTGCAAGTCAGCAGAAAATAAAAGTCTTTTATTTAGAGATTCTAGTTTATATAATTATTTAGTTAACACCTAAGTGAAGTGATATGCTAGATATTGGTATTTATATATTGCACCTTTTATAGCAATTATTACAAACGATGTTTGTAGAATTACTAGGTTTATTTCGGTGTAGGAAACATAAAACATCAGCAAAGCCCTCATCAGTATTCGAACTCAGGACCTTCAAAATGTTAGCCAGAAGTGCTTCCAATTAAGCCACGAAAGCATGCGGTAAGGTAAAACGAAATTTCTGCCATTCTCTCTCATTTAACGAGTGAAAGAGAAGGAGGGGACGTAACCGACAAATCCTGGTGCTTACGAAGTATGTTCACTATATTATTTCGGATGCGAGTATGTTTATTTTGAAAAAGAAACATAAAAAAAATCAGCAGTGTCCTCGCCGGTATTTTATTTCCTAAATTCCGACTTCCAGCCGGACGTGCTTTCAATTATACCACTAAGGAAAACCGGAAGGAATGAGAAATTATCGCATTGTAAATATTTATATATTTTGCTAAATTATGTAAGAGGTAATGCATTAAAAATTCATTAAACCGAAAGTCTCATTTAATATGCGATTATCAATTTTTGGATATTTTAGAGACAGAAAAGTTTTTAAAAAATTTAAATTATTTAAATATTTTAAGTATTCTTTAAAAATATTTTATAGCGCTGCATATAAAATGAAAAATTTGCAATCTGTTTTGAAGTTAAAACAAATTTATATGTCAAGGAATTGAAAAAAAAAAAAAAAAAAAAAAAAAAAAAAAAAAACAGAAAAAAGTTTTAAAAAATATATAGTTATTATAAAAATATAGTTAACTTATGTATATTTTATAAGCAGAGCTATAAGACTCAAAAACGTAGCTACTTAATTATCGATTGCAAAAGCGTGTTTTAAGCTTGCTTTTCCTTACAGAAAAAAATATTCGTTGAGTGACATACATCTAAATTAATCGAATGAATTAATTAGTTACTGAATTTCTTAGTTATCAAACAAGATTATTCCTTATAATAAAAAAAAATAAAAACATTTCAATATTTTACTCCACAGTCACATGAGATCTCATGACTGTGAAGGAAAATATATCTTCTGAGCACCATCGTAGGAAAATGACTGAAATAAGTACAGATTTCATGTCCTTTTTGAGTGGATATTTAATGATCACTCATTTGGAAGAAGATTTTTTTAATCCTTAAAACTACAACTTTAATTAACGAACTTATATTTAAGTACATATATGTTCATATTTTTGTCTAATTGCACCACGTTGCTGAGTATAATAATTTTCTTAGCCTCTAGGGAATTAATTTGTAAATACGAGGTAAAATAACAAGCGATTCTTATTTTTCAAAGAGAAGATTAGGTTAAAAGAGATTAGATTAGGTTTTAAAGAGAGATTGGGTTAAATAAAAAGATTATATTAAGGCTATATACTAATCGGAAGGAATAATTTCTTGTAGAATGTTTTAAGGTACACTGGCTAGTATTCATCTCACAGATGAGAAAATCCATAAAACCTCCCATGGAACCAGCTCATTTGCCAGGATTTAGGCCAAAATCAAACAGTCCTTGTTTATTAATTTTACAACTTGGCCATTGGTGAAACGCTGATAGAAATTTTGCAGTCTTATCTACTTACATCTTATTTTACCTACTTTTACTGTGTACCCTACAGTGAAAGTTTTTATTTATTTTTTTTTTTTTTTATTTCTTGCTATAAGTAGATTTTTATCCAATTTTTGCAACTGACAAAGAAACATTGCACTCTTGGACAGAAGGAAACGCAAGTATTTGATAATTTATGTGACATTTTATGAAGAAATAAGTAAATTAATGAAACATATATGAAGTTTTTTTACAGAATAGATATAGATTATAGATGAAATAAACAAAGCGTGTTCTGTAGAGTAAAGTAAAAACGACACAATAACAGTATTCAGTGCTCTATTAATTTTGCTTTAGTTTCATTTTATACTGACTATTAATAACTTAATGAAAAATTAAAATGTTTTCTGAAGTTACACATTTATTTAAATCTACTAAAAGTGAAACGTAATTTTTAGTTATCACGATATTCTAGGTCGTATTTTATTAAAATTAAAGTCGTTAGATTATTCGCAATGCAGGATTTGAAAGCAAAACTATCGAAGAAACGTTTAAATAAACTGAATGCATTCATTCATATATTTATATGCATGTCAAGTTTATGCTAGCATTTCAAGTATTATTTAAAATTCTATCATGATGTCAGTGTATTGTTCTTATGAGCGTCTCAAAATTTTATTTTTAGTAGCATATAACCAAAACTGCTGTGAAAGCCATCATTTTTGCTTCCTTGTACGAAATTAAGGAAGTATTGTAATCATAAAAAATTCCGAGTACGATATTTTATTAGGTACTTCTCCTGCCTTCGTGGTGTAGTGGTTCTGCACACTGGGCCGATTGTTCCAGAGGTCCGTGGTTCGATTCCAGGCGAAGGCGTTCCCTCATTTTTCATCTTTCCTGTTTCCAATTAACCTAATGTCTCTACAGTGGCGCCCGAACTAAAAGGGTGTTGGATGATGATTTTCCTCACCCAGGATTTGGCGACTATGTCCCCTAAAATCCCCAATCGCCCTTTAAAAGGGAGAGTATATAAGGTATTTCCCACGCCTTCCTAGCGTGCCTTCGTGGTGTAGTGGTTCTGCATACTGGGCCAGTATTCCAGAGATCCGTGGTTCGATTCTCGGCGAAGACGTTCGCTTATTTTTCATCTTTCCTGTTCCCAGTTAACCTAATGTCTCTACAATTTCAATGAAAACACCCATTTTGACCGCTACCAAAGAGAATTTAACAACGTTTTTGCTTGACATCTGTACATAAGGACATAATTAAGGACGGTTTACCCCCAAACGAATCATGATACTGATTTTAAATGGATTCAGAAGAGACTTTTTTTTACCGTGGCGTCTGTACGTACGTATGTATTTATCTCGCCTAACTTAAAAACGAATAGCCTCAGAACGTTGAGAATTTTTATGTGGGACTACTATAACATGTAGATGTGCACTTCTCATTTTGGTTGCAATCGGCCTAAAATTCATTTAGTTCGAAAACAAGTGTTTCTAATACTTGCGCAATAGCTGCAAAGTAAGATAATAATAATTTATTTACTAAAGAAATATTGATTATATTATCTCCTAATATAAGTTTAGTAGAAGTATCAAAAAAGAGGGAACCCATATGTAGGAAGTTGAATTCCGAAAATTGTGTTTTAAAGTAACTTGAATGTAAATTATAAAAAAAAAGTTGTATGGGGACTTGAATTTAAATCATGCATAAAAAAATTTCAAACTTTGAAAAAGAAATTAAAAATTAAAAACAAGTAATTATCTCTATTTATCGGAAATTAGTTGATTTTTCAAGGGGAACAAACCAACTCTCGTTCAATGATTTTTTGCATTGAAAATAATTGAATTATGTTGTTCTTATCTTCCGGTTAAGGTTTGTATGTCTTTAGGTTACTCGCATGATATACTTGTATAATTATCTGCAATTTAAAAGTTGTTTAAGTGCCTAAGCCTTATTTTGTTGGTCATAGGCTCCATAATTGTTTACATTTGAAAGTTAGTGGAATAGTGGATTTATTGCCAATCTAGAGAAACTAAGCTTCGCAACAACAAATTAATGTCTTATTATTGCGAATTAATTGTGCTTAATCCATTTTGGAATTGTCATTTCAGTTATTAGACTCAGCATAGCGTCCATAATAAATTAAGGTAGTTTCTACGTCTTCAGTGTCTTTTTGTCGAGCGAAATCACAAGTAAGCTTCCAGTTTTGTGCGCCTAAAAATTTGCCTTCTTGTCTGCTGGCCGAATTGCTTGTTTTTGCGTAGAAACTGTAATTTTAATTGTAAAAACAGTTTAAAATTGTTTTATGTTTTTCTATCTCTTTCAAATTTAATATAGATATTTTGAGTTTTTATGTATTTTTGCCTTGTCGCGAAGTGAGAACTGAATTAATAGAATGAGAAATAGTACACATCGAATGAAATTCGAGGAAATAAGTTTAAATGAAATCCATCAAAAAGTGCGTATAATTTAATATTCCCTAGAAGGAGGTCAATTCTTTTTATAGTGTTTGCATTCACTGGTTCACATCTTGCAAATACAAGATTTTTTTTAAAACGAATCTGGATGAGATCAGTTTTTATTACTTATTAGTGGCACACGTTACGTGTATACGAAACGTTGCGCATATGATGAAGTGTCAGTACTAGAACACAAAGAATACAATCATACTATTTATTTTCATAGCAACTTTTAATGAAAGGAAATCTATAGATTTACATATTTTCTTAGCATATGCAACTGTAGAAAGAATATTGGATAAATGGGATTTTTAAATAGTTATTTAATAAAAATCATTTTAGCTTT